ATTCAAAGCACCGGAGAGCAGCGCAGCGCTATCTCCAGCATCGGCGTAATGTCCATGGATGACATATGGCCACACAGGCTGACCACCACCAATTTGTTCACCTAAAGCTTTGGACATATTAAGAACATGAGCTAAAGCTCCATCTACAAACTCTTGAATATGGGGCCATAGTAATTCTTTTCGTAGATATTTGTCTCGTGGACCGAACGGAATCCTTATGATATAAGCTCCGCTGCTTTCCCCGACATCGCCATCTTCATCGTCGATTCCGGTACTTAGCATCTCGGTTGGCTCGCCATAGCTCCAATCAAGCTCTGATGACAAGATCTGCCTCGTAAAAAGGTCCACCCTATATACTCCTGGCATCTGCGCTAGCGCACGAGAAAGCTCGACAACATACTTGACCTGAAAAGTCCGTGTTAAACAACATCACCTAACACAACTCTAACTACAATTCAATTTTCTTCTAGTCACATTGCTGTGCACCTGTCCACCCGTGTCGGAATCACGACCGAGCTCCATGTTATCTCCCCGAACCAAACCGTGCAAGCTGTGATCACGATCAACAACAACAACATTGGAGGATACACATATAGTTGAGTTATTGAATTACAACAATAGGTACCTGATGAGAATAATATAAAGTTTCCTTTCCATTTTTTCTTCCGGCCAAACTTCCAAGTTTGAAACCGTCCTCTGGAACGTCGCCTTCAACGTCTCGCTCTGCGGCGTTTCACCCACAGCATCCCCCTTTTCTCCTTCTGATAAGTCTTCTGAAATATCTTCCGTTATATCCATCCGTCCTTGTTCCCGCTCCAATCTCCGGTTCGTGAACCGTTGAAGCTCCTCCCACTCCAACTGTACATAAGTTATTTCCTTTTCAACATAACCAAACATCGTGTTCTTCCTCACAATGCTAGCCTAGCTCAAGACAAACGTGGCGAGCGGAGAAACTACTCATACTCCTCTATGAATTCTAACTTTTAAATTATAGAGACTAAATTCTAACTTTCTCCAATTACAGGACTAAAACTGTAATTTAACAAAAAATTTAAAACAGCTCCCGAACATTTATTTTTAAATAAAAGATTTAGAGAACATTAGAAACTGATTTGTTACCTTTTCCTTCCAAACGATTTAAACAATTATAAATAAAAATCATAAGGTCTTAAACATTATTAAACCAACTGTCAAGCTCAAAGACTAAGAAGCAATAATATAAAAAAGATATTGAAAATAACAATAAACTAATATTATTTTAAAGTTAAAATTCCCACCATTTTTTACTTCTTCCCAATTTAGTTTCTATAATTAAAAAAAAAACTAAATTAATATAAAAATACCCATAAAATTTTTACTAGTTTTACTCCTCTCAAAGGTTTCGATGTAAAAATACTCTTACCATACTCCGTAGAAAACCAGTGCTTTATTTCAAAAAATATTTTTAAACTTTCAAAGGCTTCGATAATATCTTATTCTTAAAAACTTTTTCAAAAAATACCTTTATCCTTAGAATTATGTTTTAAAAAATACTCATGAAATTTTAAAAATAAACACCTTCGTTACTTTTTGAAAATTCATAGAGAATTTTTTAAATATGATAATAATGATATTTTTTAAAAATTTTCTTATTATTATTATTTTGGTGAGTTTTTAAAGATATTTTTATAGTTTTTAAAAAAGTTTTAAAGATATTTTTGAAGTTTTCAACAATATTTTTTTAAAACCTATATGAAAATTTATGAGTATTCTTTAAAAAAAAAAAAAACAATTTTCCTCCAAAAGAAAATGTTTAAATTTTTTTTTTTAATTTAAGATATTACGATTTCCATCTAAAAAAAGCATCATCACAAGCAAATAAAAAAATGCTAACCTGACTTGTACCCTCTTATCTTAAAATATTTTATTTTTTAAATATTCTGCATAGTATTACTCTTAATCTTTAATCTCTAAATTAAAACTTAAAATAGTGTACTGTGCCTACTCCACATTTTGTATAATCCGTATAGAACCTACCATGTGACAATGATCACCACTACACTACACACTATTTTAGATTTAGCCAAGCCGTAAGTGTGGTGGGAATCGATCAGAACCGTGCAATAAAGTATCACACACTATTCACCTATGCACCGTTATAAGATTAAACAAAAAAAAAGAGAGGGAAAATGGAAGGAACCTGCTTCTTCTTGCGAGTTAGATGCCAAATCCGCCAACACATATTCTCGAGTCTGGAGCTTCGTTCGCGAGTATTGCGAGTTGCGACGACTTTGAGCCATGTCCGATGAAGGTCCGATTCGTCCACGCCGCTAACGACTTCCTCGACGAAGTATTTCGTCGGATTGAAATGGTCTCTGTCGCCCAAATTCACCGGCATCGGCTTCTGTTCTTCAATGGCGGACGCTCCAGTGTCCAATATCGCTTCCAAATAGCCATTTATCCACTCGTTCCCAGCCATTTTGGATCTCGGAAATCGCTCGCTCCTAATTCGAAAACCTAAATCCAATTAGTGATTCTAACACAAATTACCATTACGTGCAGATTCTGCGATTTGAATCTCTGAAATCGCTGATTTTCTCAGCCAATAATCATTCGCTGTGTTGTCTCAGAGGAATTCAGAGTTTTCTTTCTGTTTCTAGAGAAAATGATGAAAGAAATGCGGAGGGATTGAAGAGGAGAAGAGAGAGGCGAAGAAGAAGGGCCACGTGGCAGCGGTTACGGCGGAGGTGGAGAGGTGCAGTTGGAGAGGGTGATGTGAGAGCTTCACCGTTTCCAAACCTGTCCTGTTCTCGATGCGAACTTGCCGCTTTTGGCCTTCTTATACTCATACCACACTCTTTTGTCTCTCTTCCTTTTTCTACTCAATTTTTTTTAGGTCTAAATATTAAAAAATATTGTCTTCAATACAAGAGAATCATGTTCGAGTAATAATTTAAAAAGTCTATAATATATAAATAATGTTGGATGTCTCATCCCGGTAACACCATTGATATAAATCACTTTGTAATTATTATATATGATTTGATCTAAATCGTTCGTATGTTGTGTAACAGCTCAAACCCACCGCAATTTTTAGGGAAAGTCCGAAAGTGAAAGCCCAGAGAAGACCATTTCTACAGCGGTGGGCTTCACTTGTTACACATTAAGATGTCTCGTGAGTTTATATATAAAACTGGACCACGAAATATTTAATTTATTTATAAATTGAATATATACGACTCGACCACAGCAGTTACTCATACAAAGTAGTCAATTAGACTCGACCACAGCAGTTATGTGTCGACACGTAAGTCAATTATACAACGTAGTCAATCGAGGAATGACAAAGTGGTCGAGTGACTACGTGGCCCAATGGATGGGGCCCTGTGAGATTGTCCATTGATTTGCATGAGTGGAAGTGGGTTTTGTAGCTGATTCAATAAGCCTACCATTCCTTGTTTTAATTTGTGTTCGATGTTCTCAAATAACGAAGGATTTGTAGGAATCGCAACAGTGTTGTGATGCTATGAACAATTAGCGTGAAGGCATTGAGCCTCCATCTTTTGACGTAGCCGTGTGTCGACGTTAAAACTCCTATAGAGTCTTAATCTTCCATGCTTGCAATAGCTTCCCGACGCGCTTCACATCTTCTCGACGTTGAAACGACTGATCTTGCAACTCAGTTTTAGCTCAACAGTCTCGACACGTGTCTCGTTTAGATTAGTGATACAAAAAGAAGAGCGAAACCCTACAAATATAGTTTGATGGGCACAGCCATGAATGCCTTTGTCACCTTTTGCTTTTACGCGTGTTGCATTTACAACAGCTGAAAGCCCAAAGGGAAAAAGGGAATATTTCACAGAGATTTCACTTTCGTAGGGCCTTTTTCTTTTCCAAGCTTATTTATTACAAAGCGTTACAGGTGGTGCCTTTGAGTTTAAAAGGAAACTCAACACTTTCCTTGGGAGCAAATGGAAGCTTAGGATGAAACAACTCATGAATCTCCTTTGTTGCTAAATCATATCTTTGAATATCCTATGATTTAGTATATATTTGTGCTTTAAAGAAAGATTTTGGTTAGGTCTAACTTTGAATCACGTGTTTACGAGCCAACATCCCACGTGTAGGGCATTAGGAGCTACGTGGATCGCACATGTAACCGAGCTCCTAACAAGGCCCATCGAGCTTGCTAAGTAGAGGAGCTACGATCGAGAGTTATTAGGTCAAGTTGTCTATTGAGCTTGGTACAAACGAGTTAGGCATGTATCCCCTCTTTGCTTAATTTCCGCTGTCATTTCAGGTAGGACACTACCACTATAGATTAAAAATGAATTACCCAACCCATCATATCGCTCTCACAATTGCCGTAGTTTTACAGGTAATAAATATATTTATCAACTCCGCTACGCTCGAATTAGGAAAAAGATGGTAAACTCCAATCTCAACATCACTTCTCAAACCAAAATGACCTTTTCAGTTCTGTGAAGAGTGAAACATCGAAGGTCCATAACAGGTAACATAAACCAACTAGTTAATTGTGAATCTAGATTATTGAGGGTTGATCCTCGTCTAGATACATTACTTCATTGTCCTATATTCTACGAGGCCTTGCACCATTGACAGATTGGGCGCCTATAGGAATACTTTTCACTGACAAACCATTTCAATAGTGTATAGGTGTTGTCATGCCACGATGCACGGCCCTGGAAGTAATAAAAAATAAAAGATATTTAATTGACTACCTGTTCGAGATGTTCAAATTCCGCTTCTCTCATAATCTTAAATCTTAAAGATAAATGTTTTTTTTTTTTAGGTATAAATGATTTAATTAAACTCTTTTCATTCCCTTCTCTCCCTCCTAAAAATTTTCATTTATTTTCAAGGGGGTCGGGACGAAAATTCCCGGGATCAAACTCTCTACAAATTTTGCCCCCATTTTTAAATATAATTTTTTTAAAGGATAATTTTCATTTTTCAATATAAATTATATTAAAAAATGTAAAACATCCTAATATATCCAATAATATTTCATAAAAATCAAAGCACGAGAACGTGGATATTTCTACACTATTCATCATCTACTTGAACTCATTGCTTTCTTACCAGGGCCTTGCTTGTCTCCTGGCTCGATGGAACGGGCGTCACGAGGCTTTAACGAAGGCCGAGGACTTCGGTTTTTATGCCTCGAACAACTCTTTCTGGAGAAGGCTCTGTAGGCTATTTTGTGCTACCTAATCATAATGAGTAATAAGAGAGTTAGATCGTTTGAATGGACTTTCATGTAAAAAATGGTGCAGAAATGAAGACCAGGAAACAATTTGGATGCGTACAATTAACCAAGTCCTGTCACTTTCCTCTCAAACTCATGCTCATCCGCTTTTGATTCATAGAAAAACGTCGAGCCATGGCGGGGTTGTAAAACCTTCTCATGTGTTCGGACAGGCGATGGATTGCTTGGAGATTACCATTTACAGAGAGCTGCATCAAAAACGAGTCGAACTTCCGATAAGGGAGCTTCATTCCCTTGTTTACCACTTCCTCTAAAAGGAAACAAGCATCTCCAACTTTGTTGCAATCAAAGAGACCATCAATCATTATACAATATGTATCCACATCCCGTGTGCAACCGTTCTTATCCATTTCACACCAAATCTCGAAAGCTCCATTATGATCGCCCATCTCGAAAAACATCGATATCAACATGTTGTAAGTCTGTACACTGGGCAAGCAACCAACTTCAATCATTCTATCACAATGCTTGAGTGCATCATCACTCATTTTATTATCACAGAGAACCTTGAGGAAACAATTATAAGTAACTATATCAGGAGGGTAACCTTTCTTACCCATCTCTTCCAAAAACACGTAAGCTTCATCGACCTTTCCACCTAAACACATCCCTTCGATCAGCTCTTTGTACGTAGAAACGTCGGGAACACTACCACTTTTGATCATGTATTCCAGAAACTTGAAGCATTCATCCATTCTACCATTATTAACAAGAGCAACAATCATGATTGCGTAAGTCTTAGCTGTGGGTGAGGAGAAGGTAGAACCTTTTGTTCTCATGAACTCAAAGAGTTCACACGCTTCCGTCAACAACCCCGCCTTGCAGAACGAAGCGATAGCAGTGTTATAAGTAAAATTATCCGGATCAAACCCGAGCTCAATCATCTCTTCCAATACCCTCATCCCTCTTCCTGGATTCCTAACTCTACACCAACCAAAAAACAATATGTTATATGTGTTCGCATTCGGCTTCAGTTTCTTCTTCACCTTCATAAACAAAGCTTCAGCATCCTTAACCAGACTACATTTGCACAAAGAATCCAATAACAAATTAAAAGCATTGATTTCTGGCTGTGTTTTCACTCTTATCTTCTTTTTCTTCGCAAACTTTTGCAAATGAGTTAAATGCCTCTCTGTATAATTCTTCAAAATCCCAAATAAAATCTCAACAGGAACATTATTCTTGTCATTTCTCTTCATATAATCAAGAACGTCACAAACAATTCGAAATTGCTTGACCTTGTACCTAGTGCTAGACAGTATATCAATCATGTCATTGTAAACCAGAGGTTCATGAGAATAGTTATCTTGACGCGCAGCCCATGTAAAGAATCTAAACGCTAATTTCTCATCAAAACGAAGCCTATGGAGAATATCTACAACTAAATCAGTACTCAAATGGACGCCCACATGATCGAGGGCATCCTCCATATCATGATGTGCGCAAGAATTATCTATAATAGCTTTGTGTAACTTATCCGCACTGCTTTCTGAAATTTCTTCCGCTTTAGATTCATTAAGAGTACAGTAAGATCCTGATCGAACAAATTCTGAATTAAAATGGACCAAAAACGCAATCGAACACGAAAAGGCGGGAATCGAGAGCGAGAACTTGGGACGGTAATATAGAGGTGATGGAATCGAAGAACTTACAGACGAGAAACGGCCATTGACGCTGCGGAAGGACGAAGGAAAATGATTTCGAACTCGAAGCAAGCGCTTGCAAACCCCATTCATCATCGAAAACAAAATTCCACACTGTACTCCAGATTACGGAAGGAAAAGAGAACAGAAAAATCAAAGAAAGAAGTACTGAAGTTTTGGTAGACGCAACGGAACTGAAGAGATGAAAACTACGGCCGGCGGTGAAGATGCCGATCGACTGTGGACGGCGCTGTTCTAACCATCGGCTTCGCACCTCTCCCCCTCCGAAAATACCAGTTTTTTTTGTTTTAATTTCAAAAATTACAAAATTGCCTCGATTATAATTAAATAAAAAAAATCAATTATAAGTTAAAAACATAACATAAATTGGGTTGGTCCATAAACTTTTAAAAATAATAAAAACATCCTTAAAATATATATATATTTTTTTATCTTATAAACTCTTTAATTTCTAATTTTGTATGATTAAAATTTCTAAAAATTAATTTATCTAAAAACATAAATTTGAAATTTAAGTTGATAGATTAAATTTATAATTAAATAGTTTTTCATTCAAGCAATAATTTAAACCAAAAAATTAATAAAAATGAAGGTGTGAGGGTGACCCTTTGGTTCCTTCACCAAAAATATATATATATATATATATATATTTTTTTTTTTTTTTTTTAATAAGTAATCATTTCAATTTAAATTTTTACTAATTAATAAATTTTTAATCTTATTTTAACCCAATAAGATTACACTATTTTAACCCAATAAGATTACACTGTATAAGAACCAAGATGGTCAAAAGTAGAATTCTAAACTAATACGAAATGATATTCGATGTGTTCATCATTATCCAATATGATAATATGGCAACGTGACAACTCGAGTATAATTCAAGTTTAGATTTAAATACTCCGTTCAAGTTCTCGATGTTTTGAGACCCCAAAACCAAGAGTACAAAGTCGAGGTACCCTGCAAAAATGTATATAACAAGTACAGGTACGTTTCAATTTATCTTCAATATGTAGAGACGAATATTTATTATCGCTGCGTAACGGAACTCAACTCGAGAACCCTTGGTGACCCGTCATACACACCAAGCGTAATTCTAACAATCATTTACTTCTTCAAAACTTAGAAATACTATTTCTTGAAGCAGAAGAGCAAAGTGTGTGCTTGTAATAGAAAATGTGTTTCCTGTTCTAATCTAATCTAGTAGCTTGCAAAAATGATTCAACGCCCTATATCATCAACAATACCAGGTCTAACAGCTATGTTCAATGATCAACAAAAATCACAATTCTTATGAACACATCGTTCCGGTGCACACCGACGCAGTTTGCCGAAAAAATGACTAAAATATTCTTTCATAAAGATACTCAATCGACGCAACAACAAACCATTCTCATACTACAGCAGAAAGAGAGAAAGAAGTCTTGTTACCTATGTCGAGGAGATCCCGTCGCTCTCGAAGCCTCCCGGGTGATGGAGAGAAAATTCATGAACTAAACAAAACCGACTCGTTAGCTTACTCGTCCTTGAATATAACAGGGAAGAGATGCAAGTATGTAGATCACAAGGGAAGCATTACTAAAAGAAGAAGATAACAATAAAAGATAAGAAGAATTTTATATTTCTTATTGTCATAATTCAAGCTAAACAGATGAGCACCAGCCAATAAAAATTGAATGCATATAACTATTCTCAGACCTTTACAGACTAATCCATTGCTGCAAATATTCTTGCAGTTCCCACAGTTTTCTGATCAAATACGTAAGATGAAACGTCAACCATCGACGATAAATTGATCGTCTTGGTTGTCTGTTTCAACTCTCGTGCCATCGTGAACAATCCCGTTCACATGATGTAAATTTTGCATCATTTGTGAAAGATAATGGTTACTAGCACTAGTATGATCAGAGAGTGCAGAAGGATGAGCAGTCCATTGAGAGATAATACCGAGTAATTGACCGGTTAGGTTCTGTTGCTCGTGGAGCATACGAGTCTGGATCTGATTCATTTCAGCTCGGTGTTGGTTCAACATATTGTCGATCCTGTTCTTCCATTCTAACCTTCTCTTGCTCATCCTCTCCTCCCATTCTCTCTCATGGTTCAACTTCTCCTCTCTTCTTCTTTCTATCTCCACTCTCTCCTTCTCCATAGCTTCCCACTCTTGAATTCTCTGTTTTCGCAACTCGTCTCGGACTTTCTCCCTCTCCGCCCTTTGGGCTTCCCTTTCCTCCCACTTTTGTTCCCATTTTTTCTCCATTTCGAATCTCAAGCATTCGCACCTCCGACGCTCCTGTTCTCTTTCCACCTCACGTTTCTCATACTGAGCCTCCATATCCTTCAACCGTCCGAGCTGGTTCACGAGAAATCCCCATGCTTTCTTCTCCAACCTCTTCATCACCTTCCTCTTCTTCTTCTTCAAGATGTTCTTCTTAGGATCAACTGCTTCACAGAAAAAGCTGTTCTCTCCATCCTCCTTCAGCTGATCATTATCGTTAAAGTTTTCTTCCGCTTCGTCCCCGTCGAACTCAAACCTCAAACCCATCACTTCATTGTCAACACCATCAATCCCAGCAGTGAAGTTCCCTCCCCCAGAATGCCCCATATGAGGAAAATCCAACATATCCATTTCTCTACTTACCTCCAAAAACTGGTCGACATTCCCCCGGTCACTACTCGAAACGACTGTCAAATCATTATAACTGCTATTTGCCACAGCTACATCCCCAAAAACATCCTTATATCTCAAGAAGTTTGACCAATAGGTTACACCCTCCATCCAATCATACTCTTCCTTTGAGTCCCCACCTGAGTTTTCGACCCCGGATTCGGGTTTCTTAATCTTCTGCTTCACAAGCAAATATTGGTGCCTCATGTTCTGGACCTTAGTAGAAACATCTTTCCAAGACCACTGCCATGGATACGTCAAAGAATCATGAACATGGTGCACAGAATTCACATAATTCGCAATTGGCCTAAACTTTTTCTCACGGGTTTTCATCTTAGCTAGGGTTCCATCAGAGACCATTTCTCCATACTTATCAATCAAGGTCCTCTCCTCAGCTTCAGTCCATTTCTTTCGCTTCGGGGGAATCATCACACCAAATTAACTCCCAATTCACCACTCAAACACAAGAAAAAGAAAATCCCAGAGCAAATTTCAATCAAATCTCAATCAAAATTCAAACCCAGAAACTTTGCATCAAAGAAAATCAAGGATCCATCAAAGCACCAAGCCAAAAACCAAAATCGAACAAAACCCGCATCGGAAAACCACCAAATTCAACGATGGAAGCAGAAATTTGTACTTACCTGACGAATTGGAAAGAGAAGGCGACTTTGAAGAGAGATTGAAAGGATTTTTGAAAGAAAAAAAGTGAAGTCCGAGGAGTGGAGCAGATGAAGAAGAAGGGTCCTCAGAGAATTTAGCAGCGGAAGTAAAAGGATTTTCTTTTCAAGCGCAGTAATTGGGGCTTTTTCGTTAAAAGCGGTAGCGCCAAGACATGAGCCTGAGGAAATATTGGGGCAGAACATATTAATAATAATCAATAATTTTACTTTATCCTTGGTCGGAAGCTGATGGAAAAATAATATTTTCACTTTTTAATTTATTATTCAAATAATTTTTTTTAAAAAAAAGTAGCACATCGTCAATAAATCAAAAGGCCTACACTGTTTGAATAAATTTAAATTTTATTTTAGTTGATGAACTTCACCAAAATTATTGACAATAAATCAAAAAAAAATTTATGAAAAAATTTCATCATTGTTAAATTATATAAAGATACGTGTTTCAAAAAGCCTAAATTTATTAGGGCTTTTGCATTCTTGAAAAGGTGATACGTTAAGACCATATCTAATAGATTCTTTACTCACTAGGAAATGTGAGATGTTATCCGAATATATTGAGAATTGTTGTCTAGAAATTCTGAGCGTATGTGCATTGCATGAATAAGTAGCTTATGATTCGTTTTCTTTCTTACATAACATACACCAATTTGGAGAAACAGTGATGTAAGACATTCTTTTTTGTTAATGACTTTTTCCGCTATTTTTCAAATGAAGAACTTCACTTTTTAGGCTGATGTCCTTTTCATATTATCTTTGCTAGCGTGGGATTTATTTCTTCTATTTTTTCCTCCATGTCTGTTTGACGGTGCCACAAGGGTAAGGGCAAGGACAAGGTCAAAGCTTAATTCGACTCATTTCATTGCTTCATTATCCTTTAAATTTCTACCAAGTTTCCCGTCCAGAATTGGTTGACTATTTGGTTGAGAACATTTTACTCTTAAGGCTAATGAGTTTTGGTGATGATCGTGCTCTGTTTTTTGTGATGATTTTGAGGTGGCAGCGGACAGATAAATTGGTCAAGAAACCTGAAAAGCCAAGGTTGATAATTCTCTGAAGTCACTTAAAAAGTCGAGCGAAGCATATTATTCCCTCGTTCGGAAGAGTTTTCAGCAAGCCATGTTGAGGATTATTGGGATTGGGAGTGTCCCACATTGGTTAATTTAGTGGAAGATCATGGGTTTATAAGTGAGGAATACTAACTCCATTGGTATGAGGCCTTTTGGGGAAGCCCAAAGCAAAGCCATGAGAGCTTATGCTCAAAGTGGACAATATCATACCATTGTGGAGAGTCGTGATTCCTAACATGGTATCAGAGCCATGCCCTAAACTTAACCATGCCAATAGAATCCTCAAATATCGAACAAAGAATGGCGAGCCTCGAAGGTGAAGTCAAAAAGTGACTAACATGTCGAACAAATGGTGTACTTTGTTCGAGGGCTCCAGAGAAAGGAGTCGAGCCTCAATTAAGGGGAGGCTATTCGAGAGCTCCATAAGCCTCAGGGGAGGCTTATAGTGTGCTTTGTTCGAGGGGAGGTGTTGAGGATTATTGGGATTGGGAGTGTGTCCCACATTGGTTAATTTAGTGGAAGATCATGGGTTTATAAGTGAGGAATACTAACTCCATTGGTATGAGGCCTTTTGGGGAAGCCCAAAGCAAAGCCATGAGAGCTTATGCTCAAAGTGGACAATATCATACCATTGTGGAGAGTCGTGATTCCTAACAAGCCAAGCATTCAATAAGCAATTGGTCCTTCAATGGATTGAAAATATTTTCGATTGGAGTGTTTTTGAACCATAAAAAAGAGGGATTCGGCTTTGGGACCATGCTTGCTTCCTCCTATGAACCATAAACTAAAAGGAGGAAAGAAGAAAATCACAATTTAACGTGAGATCCCATGTCGGTTGAAAAGAGGAACAAAACACTTTTTACAAGGGTGTGGAAACCTCGTTCTAGTACATCCATTTTAAAATCATGCAGCTGACGACAATACGTAATGGATCAAAGCGGACAATATCTTTTAGTAGTAAGCTTGAGCTGTTAGAGGTAACCTTGTATTCGTTAAAATCCATGTAGATGATATTGTTACATCGTTATATCTCGATATCTATTCTGATGTTGAATTCATGAGCGGTTTGCTTCAAACTCTTCCTTCTGGCTCTTCAACTATGTTCTGGTTTTTCCTATTCAAGCTTCTAAGTACGCATTCTATTAGTTTGTTAGCAAGGTTGATATCTCAGCTTCTATTTCAGATGGCTTTCTTTGTGGTTCAGCTTTGGTGAAAGTTTCTCTTCAGCTTGTTGCATTCTCCTCTCAGTTTTCAGGTGTTTTAATCTTTAGAAGGTCCTTACTATTTTGGAGGCGTTTTAACTCATCTTCGGAGGCCTTTTCGTGTTTATCCGAGATATCTTGAATGTTTATGTAACCGCCTAAGCCCACCTCTAATAGACATTATCTTCTTTGGGTTTTCCCTTCCGGACTTCCACTCAAGGTTTTAAAACGTGTTTGCTAAACAGAGGTTTCCACACCCTTGTAAATAATGTTTCGTTTCCCTTTCCCTTTCTAACCAACGTGGGATCTCACAATCCACCTCTTTCGAAGCCCAGCGTCCTCGCTGCACTCGTTCACTTCTCCAATTGATGCGAGATCTTTCCAGCTTTCTCCTTTGGTTATTTCGGAATCCTCTCTCTGTTTTATGGGTTTTCACGTTTAAAGTTCGAATCTCAATTTCTTGGCAAGCTTGTTCTATTCAGGTTCTTTATTAATTATTGGGGCACTTTGAAGTTGTTTTTTGTTTCTTGTTTTGTTCATTTTCCACTCTCTTGTGGAGTTTGTATCATCTCTGAGCGTTAGTCTTTTCATACATTGAATGAAATGTTTCATTCGACTAGGAAAACTGCATTTTCATAATTATCCCCTAAGAAACAAACTGCATTCGCCTAGGCATCAGTAAGGCATGAAAAAACATTCACTCAATCGTACTGGTTCCATGGCAGCCAAACTTAAGCACCAATAAATTATCAACGCAAAACATAAACATATGAGTCCTGAAGATAAGCAGCGAAGAAATGCTTACAACAAAACGCCGGCGACCAGAGGACTTGTTGGGAGACTTGACCGCTTGTGCGTGAGAAGCCGTCGCCATGGAAGATCAAACTCTTCGAGCTTACCGAAAAATTGTTTAGAAGACAATACGATTTTGAAGAAGATAAGAGTTGAATCCGGCGGTGTAACGAAGAGCTGGCCTTACTCGGCTTCTAGTTCTTCTTGGCGCGAAAGCTCCTCTCGGCGGTAGGCCGTCGAGAGGCTTCAGAAACAGAGCGCGGTGGGAATTTATTTCTGTTACTTTGTTCTTCAGGACTTCCCTTCTGTGGTTTCTAGTTTGAACTTGGGCTGGGCTGGACTGGGCTGGTTTTCTTATTTTTGGGTTTCGGCCCAATAAACTTCAATAGTTGGGCCCATATGATTAAAACAAACTCACGATGTCCATTTTACTCGTGGAGCTAGGTATCCGAGCTAAACAAAACGAATAATTCTTGTTTAAAGAGAATACGAGAGAGGAAGTGAGAGAAACCTCTCCTCATTGCTAAACATGGTAGGGGACGGGGATTCCATTCTTTGTCCCCGTCCTCGACTCTAGCCCCGTATCAATTCTTGCTCTACCCCACTTTATTATATAAATATAAGTACATTTATTTACATATATAATGTGAGATCTCACATCGATCAAAGAGAGGAACGAAGCATTCCTTATAAAGGTGTGGAAGTCTCTCCCTAGTAGACGCGTTTAAAAACTGTGAGGTTGACGGGTATGCGTAATGGGTCAAAGTGGACAATATATGTTAACTGTGGGCTTGGGCTATTACAAATGGTATTGGAGCCAGATATTAGGCGGTGTGCCGAGGACGTTGGCTCCTAAGGAGGTAGATTGTGAGATGCCCCGTGTGCCAGCGAAGACTCTATGTAATTTGGTTAGGGAGGAGAACAAACCACCATTTATAATAACTGTGGAAACCTTACCCTGTTTTAAAGTCTTGAGGGGAAGCCCAAAAACAAAAAAAAACCTACTAAAGAGGATAATAAGTGTGTGGAAACCTTCACCCTTTTGAAGCGCTGCGCTGAGGGGGAAGCCCAAAAACAAAAAAACCTACTAAAGAGGACAATATCTGCCCAAAAGAAAAAACTCAAAAACCCGAAGAGGACAATATCTGCCCATGGTGGGCCTGATGTAATATCTGCTTGCGGTTGGGGCTTAGGTCGTTACACCAACAAAAAACCTACTAAAGAGGACAATACCTGCCTGCGGTGGGGCAAACACGAAGAGACAATATCTACGTGCGGTGGGGCCTGGTGTAATATCTGCTGGCAGTGGGCTTAGGTCGTTACACAATGGCCCCTGCCCCCTAACCGAAGTGAATTGTTGGTGTAATATCTGTTGGCGGTGGGGCAAACACGAAGAGGACAATATCTGCCTGCGGTGAGGCTTGGTGTCGTTACACAATGGCTCTTGCCTCTGGAAGTGAATTGCGAGATCTGTTTTTCTTGGATTTTTTTTTTCTTTCCACGTTTTTTCACATCCTTCTATTTATAGCTAGAATCCCTTCTACCCTAAACGTCAAAACCAATTCAAAAGAGGAGTTCTCAAACTTGAGCTTGCTCACATTCTCTCTGCACCTGCTGTCATAGCTCATTACACAGCCAAGAGAGAGAGAGAGAGATCCATCGTACAAAACAAGAACAGAGTGACGAAACAGCGGCAGCGAAGGTTTGATAGAGGCAAATTTCATTGACGTAATCGTAAGGAGAAATCACAGAAGAGATTCAGGCATGCGTAGCTGCGGTTTGGCTTTATCAGGTACCGATTCACGGTGCTATTTACCGGCGATGCCTCCGATCTTTTCTCCGATGAGAGCCTGTCCACCGGAAGGAAATTCGCAGGTTTTGTTCCCTAAATTGACACGGCCTCCTTCTGCTTGCGTTAGAGCAAAGGCCACGGTTGTCAACGAGGCGCTAGTCTCCGACGCCGTCGAGATAAGCTTCTACGAGCTTTTAGGAGTGCCGGAGTCGGGGTCGATGGTGGAGATTAAGCAGGCCTACAAGCAGATGGCTCGGAAATACCATCCGGACGTCTCGCCACCGGACCGGATCGAGGAGTATACAAGGAAGTTCATCAAGGTTCAGGAGGCGTACGAGACGTTATCGGATCCTGTTATGAGAGATTTGTATGATAGAGACATGGCGAGAGGTCTTCACCTTGCTTTCTCTGCTCGAAGACGGGGCTACAACCATGAGGTATGTTTTTTGGCCATTTTTGAGGTCAAAATCGGTTGCTGAATCAATTAGGATGTCTTCTCTACCTTATTTTATTGCAATTTAAATCATTATATTGAATTGATTTTTACTCGTCTTGAACAATTTCGCCTCCTCATCCTGAATTCTTGTTATTTTCCCTGACCTCTTCGTTTTTGCAACCTAGATTACTCCATGCACTCAGTCTGGTGTTTCATCTGTTTTTTTAATTTTCTGTCTTCGATTTAACAGTAGATGATGATTATAATCTGGACCACAGGTATATTCTCGATATGCAAATACTTTTTGAGTTTTTTTTTACTAAAACAGTAGATTAACCATTAGCAACAGCTCTTCTAATTCTTCGACTATCTTCTAATTAAGCTAATCCTAATTCAAAAGACTTGTGTGCATCAAAACATGTATAATCTGGACCAAATCATGACTCCTACCTATATAACTTACATGACAGACATCGATTCTTTTAGTTTCATTATCAAAATTTCCTATATTAAATCTGTACTTATAATTCTCTGAATTGCTCAGGAAATGGATGAGAAGGGTGGGTGGAAGAGCCGTTGGCAGGATCAGCTATCAGAATTAAAGAGAAGAAGCATGAATAAAAATTCAAGAGCAAACATGTCATGGGGAGCTCGAATGCGCAGGCAAAGGGACGAGCTTCACAACGACGATAACCCGTAATTTGGTTCTTCCCCTGCTCTGAACTTTCAACCTTCCTGCATATAGCTAATATTAATACTCTAGCTAGATACAGGACCTTAGCCTACTGATTACTAGAACTTCTACTTGTTGCTCTGTGAAACTCAAATTGCTTAGAGTCTGCATATTGGGAACTTGTTTCACAACGCATGTAAATCACTAGAAAACCAGCATCGAATGTGTGTGTGTATATATATATATATATATATCTGGAAATTATAGTATCTCAGAGTAATCTATCAATGTTGAATTTATCGTTCCTGATTAGTCCTGGTAGATACCAATTTTGTTTCAGAATGTCTACTGTGCTTTTCTAAAATCACAGTCTTTGTTACCAATATTTTCTCTGTTTCCGTTCCACTAAAACCACGGTTAGAACATGATTCAGCTTTGTCTGTTTAGGTTTTAAAAAAGTTGCTAGGAGCCAAAAAACAAGTTGAAGAAAAAACAAACTCATCTTTTGGAGTGCCACCATTAATGCAGATTACCATCCTTGTGATCAATAATGCAAAAAAGAATCGTCTTACAGATTATTGGTTCGAGTCATTATAGGAGTTAAAGTCATGGAGAAATTACTTGTTGAAACTGTCGCGTTGAAACTGTCGCAGTGTGACGAACCGTTTCACTTATTTGATGTACGAGAGAAAAGGGTCTAATCACATTTGAATAAATTTGTCGAGCCATAGAGCAATTTTCTTGGATTTAATATCTTATGAGTTTTTCTAGCAACCAAATGTTTCATGAGAATAGTATAAATTTAGGGAGAGGTTTTCACGCAATGTTTCGTTTCCCTCTCCAATCGATGTGGGATCTCTCCACCCTTTTGGAGGCTCAGTGTCCTCATTGGCATGTTGCTAAGTGTTTGGTCTCCAACCAATGCGGGATCTCACAATCTACTCTTTCTTTTGGAGACCCAGGGCCCTCGTTGGCATGCATATTGCTTAGTGTCCTCGTTGGTGGCATGCATATTACTTAGTGTTTGGCTCTGATACCATTTGTAACCGCCCTAATAGCCCAAATCCACCATTAACAGATGTTGTCCGCTTTGGTTTAGTGTCTGGCTCAAGTCCCATTAGCAGATGTTGTCCGCTTTGGCCCGCTGCGTATCGCCCGTAGGGAGAAGTTTTCACACCCTAATAAGAAATGTTTCGTTTCACTCTCCAATCAATGTGGGACCTCACAGAATATGAGAGGTGGAAAAAATGACGTTGCCGTTGAGTGCGAGTGATGGTGCATGGAAGATAAGCAAGGGGAAAGGGACCAGGGGCAAGTGGGTGGTAGCAGAGCAGTGCGCTATGTGTATTCATTATCGAGGGTCATTTTCATTAAGGCTATCCAACCAGCAAGGTGTTTGAAGATTCACCATAAGTCGCTTGGGTTTAAATTTTGGGCTGACCTGAGTCCCTTTGTCCTTAATACCCTAATCTTTATCTTGTGGGGTCCCCCTTGATATTACACTCAATAATTCATACCTATCTACATTCATCCATGAACAAAATTATTTTAAGTGGTAATTGAAAGTGATATTTCCTTTTTTTTTTTTTTTTTTTT